CACACACACACACACACACACACACACACACACACACACACACACACACACACACACATACATACATACACAACTGACTATAGGATGTTTGCTGGCTTTTATCCCACTGTTGTTGTCATCCTCTTGTTGTTATGTCTATGTATTGTCTCTTGTCGTTCAATAAAAAAAAATATATTAAATTTAAAAAATGCATTAACGCACGATAAAATAATTGTCGGCGTTAATTAATTAATGCGTTAACGCGATAATAACGCGTTAACTTGCCCAGCACTAATATATACATAATGTATATAATCCTGTTGAGCAGGGATTCTAGGCGACGGGAGCATCAAGTGGGGGGCGGGGCGGGAACAGCTGGTGATGCAAACAGGAAGTCCTCTGTAGTGTAGGCCGTCTCATTTCGGAGACCGCACGGCCCAGCCTTCGCGGTCCTCAAAGGACGCGGCCCATGTAGACCGCGAAGGCTGGGTCCTCTGAAGGATGCAGCCCCTGAATTGAGACACAGCTACAGTATTGTCCCACAAGACCCAACACAGGATGGATGGATGGATGGATGGATGGATGGATGGACAGACTGACGAATGGATGGATAGATGATGGATCGACAGAACGACGGACCGGCGGATGCATGGATGGATGGATGGACAGACCGACAGATGCACGGATGGATGGATGATGGATGGCTGGGCTGATTGATTGATGGATGGCTGGTGTGATTGATGGATGGATGGATGGATGGGTGGACGAAAGAACCGACGGATGCATGAATGGAAGAATGATGGAAGGATGATGGATGGCTGGAGTGATGGGTGGATGGATGGACGGACGAAAGAACTGACGGATGCATGAATGGATGGATGGAAGGATGATGGATGGATGGATCGACAGAATGACTGCACGACGGATGGAAGGATGATGGATGGAAGAATATTACCAAAGTCTGCACATTTTACAATAACGTTTAACACTTTGGGTGATCACATCCTTTTAGTTATTTACAAGCTGATTTGACAGGGACCATGTTTACTAAACATAATCTTCAATACTCTTGAGATCCGATGCATTTTACAGAGGTATTGTCACGGCCAGGCCGTGCCTCCTGGGCCCCGTTCCTCGTACGTGGTTCAACTAAGTCGATCAAATGTCCTATTAGCCAGCTGAAATTAACCCGATGATTGATGTCAGGCTATCTCGGTTTCTCCAAGGCTGATCCTCTCAAACACTCTCGTTAATTCGAACCAGACGATCAGGATCAGGATAATTGCGCGTGCCCGTCCTACTTCAAAAGGGGGAAGCGTCGATCACCGAAACCATGATTTTCTAACAGTACAATGGCAAATAAACTCAAAGAAAGATGATAAATACGATAGTCGACCTATAGGCTATGATGCATACATCATGAGGTTATTTGTATGCTTTTTATCAGTTATAAACTATTAATGAAAAGCTGCTGAATAGAGATTCTAGGACTGTAGTATTTTCACAGATGACCTGGAGTTTTCCCCTAACCTGTAGTACCAGAGCTGTCTCATTCTCATGAAGGGAAAAAATAGTCTGCTGCCTCTCATGCATGACGTATGCAGTCCATAATAAACCAATGAAGCACTTCACTTACACAACAAATTACATGTGTTTGCAAGATTGAAAACCCTTATTACAGAGCAACAGATGCATGAAAATTATAACAACAATGAAAACAGTGGTAAAGCTGAAGAAATCCTTCTCTTTGCTTTGATCGGAAGCACTGTCATGTTGTGGACATTATGGTCTTGTTTAGGTTGATGTGCATCTTTACTGCCTGAACGTTGCTGTTCGTCAACTGCCAGCTGGTAACCAGTAAAGATGATTACACATATACAGCTCCAGGCCTATATACACTGCGGCTTGGTGTTGTGAGCCTGTGTAGGGAAACAGAGTGCGTCTCCCTCTGATGGAAACCATAGCTTGTCGGACGTGGAGGTCGGTGCCAGATGATATTTTGCCCTGCCGCTCCGTCGCCTGATGAAACAGCACAGATGATTTATGGTGGCTGGCTGGATGGCAGTAGCGCAGGACGCAGTGCCTTCACTGGCCCCGGCAGACACAGCCAAAATTAGGTTACTCACAAAACGTAAAGGGTCTGTCTCAGACAAACAAATTCAATCATGGCTTTCCTCCCCTGCAGGTTGTTTTAATACTGCTGGATTAGAGAGGTCGCCCATCTCTCCATGCCTCTTTACCGCAGACACAGATGTAGTCAATGTGTGTGTGTGTGTGTGCAGCACAAACACACAGCATTCTCTGAGGGGAGGAGGTGTTTTTTGGCCAGCTTGGAACATAAATCACAAGTTTTAAAGTACAACCCATGAGTTACCGAAGAAAAAGGGTAGTCTTACCACCAAAGTTCAGACTGCAAATCTTAGTCCCAGCACTGATTTATCCACCTACCACTTTGTAACAAGGGCGCCCTCTGTAAAGGGTTTATAAATTGTAACTAATGGCTTAATTGGTAGTCAATGAGTGATTCACT